GACGATGACATGAGTGTGAAACTGCTACAGAACGAGGAGAATGTGTTCTACTCTTATAATAATAGAGAAAGAGGATGTAATGGTCGGTCCCAAGGTGGACAATCTAGATTTGATGGTCGAGGTGACGAGAAGGAAGAGGAGGCTCAACAAAACTAGTAAGGAAGAGGACATGGACTGAAAGGAGGTCGGTCAACGAACCACTCAAATATCGAGTGTTTCAAGTGTGACAAGTATAGTCACTATGCAAAGGATTGCTACTTGGGAAAATGTTTTAATTATGGAAAGGAGGGGTATTTTATGAGAGAATGTCAAGAGATGGGTGAGACCTATCTCATAGAAGGGCAAGAAGAACCAACGCTCATAATGGTCAATCACCATTCGACGATACACTTGGGAGCAAACAACAGTGATGTTGTTCAGTATGATTTTTATATATGGGTGCAAGTAATCACATGTGTGGGGATAGACACCTATTAAGAAAATTGGAGAAATTTAAAAGCGATCATGTATTGTTTGAAGATGGCTTAGAGGTCTCGATAAAAGGTCGAGACACTATTTATTTCTTGCATAATGATAGCCCAGTCAGGTCGATCCAAGATGTGTTTTATGTCCCAGATCTAAATAGTAATATTTTGAGTGTGGGATAACTAATGGAGAGAGGATACACAATTTTCATGAAAGACCGAGTACTACAATTGAATGACAAACTTGGAAGGTTGATTTTTCGAATAGAGATGAAGAATAATAGAATGTACAAGTTGTAGTTAAGAAGCATTCGGGAGAGGAGTTTGAGATCAAATGTAGAGGATAGGTTGAAGGTAAATTACCGATCTAGTCACATGCAATTTTGTGGTTTAACTGAATTAATTCATGATGATAATCATGATATTGTCCAAGTTGGTGATACGAGTGGAAGTATAGATCGAGTAGGGCGAGCTGATGTGTCACTAGTTGTTATCAGATTGGAAGGAGAGAAAGAGGTCGTGCATGATGAAAAATGGTCGAACATGAAGGGGAGAGTTTACAAAGAAAAGATCGGTAAAAAGGTGAGTATCCCACTTAAGAAAGTTTTCATAGGAGTAGTCGGTGATAAGGCGAGGACTCCACTTCAGAGAAATGTTAGGGAAAAGAACAAGTTGATCATAGTCAGGACATGCGTGAATTTATAAAGTGGATTGAAGATATGAATCTTCAACTACTAACAAACATGATTGATGAGGCTTGACTTGAGAATATGATAAATGGAAGTTGGACAAATCAAACATATACTAACATTATGGACGTGTTACGACAAGTAAGTTATACATAATTTATTTAATGGTCTAAGTGATTTTACTTTTAACCAGACCACAAGAAGAATTGACATTGAGCCTAAAGTTTGGAATGACTTTATTTAGGTATTACATTGAACAATATATTTTAATAATTAATTGTAATATTTCAGGTTGCAATAACGATTATGTAGATGTTTTTTTTAGGCAACATATGCTAAATGGCAAGTAACCTCAAAAAAATTCTATGACTTGTTAGAAGAATTGTGGGGAGCTAAGCATGCTACCAGGCACATGACTGGGATTACACAACAAGTTTGTAGATGTAGGGCTTTCACAGTGTTGATCTGAACGATGTTGCTGTAAATCTTTTTATGCACCATGAGTATAATCCAATATTTCATAAGATGTAGCTCAACCGACCCCATATGGACTCTTAGAGTCTAGGGGTCTCTCCATTTGTCTTTTCTACCCCTTCTACAGGAACATCTTCATCAAGGGGATAAAAGAGAAAGGCTAACATGATAAATGTAGAATTGAATGCTCAATTTGAAGTATGAGGAAAGGATACACAAATTGGTGGATAACATCGGTGAAAGTAATAAATACTCTACAAAATTGACAGAGGTGGCCAAGTGTCAATGTGATCATATAGAGCGTCATGTTATTTCTCTACAACACTACAACATTCAACAACTGATATTTGACAATTGTTATACCAATTTGATTTTGCATGATGATCAATTTATGTTACAATGTTATGAGTTTATTTGTAGAAACCTTATTTGTATGTGTATGCTTTTTGGCATGCTATCATAGTTACTATTAAACTATTTGTCTAAACATATGACTGGTAGAGACTCGTCATAGTTGATTTCTAAGTTTTCATTTATAAAATAATGTTGTTTTTAATATTTGAACTTTTCATGTACAAGATGTAAAATATTGTTTGAGTGTTATCTTTATGTTTGATTGTCATTATGTTTGATTGTTCTGTTTATGTTTTAGTATGAAAACTTAATGTATATAAAAAATGTACTAATGGTAGCCCACCATTTATAGGTTTCTCCATCATGTCTTTGTCATCATTCAAATAAAAGAGACAAAGACATGTCTCACAACGTAAGGGAAAAAAATGTAATAAAGGGTGATAAACCTGTCTCTCCTGAAAACTTGTCTTAGTTCCCCACTCTATTAGACCATGACCATTATTTTAGTAATGAAAGACATATAAAAAAATATTATATATATTTGGTTAAGAGGCCCATAGTCCACCCAAAGGTAATTCCCCAACTCTTGTCTTTTTAGGGCTAGATAGATTTCTAGCCTCCATAGGTTGTTCTTATGAATACCTCGTTAAAGTATTTCACACAAATTTAAAATTGAATGACACAAATGATCTTGTTAGTAAAGTCTTATAGAGACAAATTAGGATAAAGCCTAATGATTGGCTAAATGTGTCTCATTTGAAATATCACTCATATTGATCTTGCTGACATCCCTGAAGATTTAGAATATGATAAAGATGAAACTTTGGTTATAATGATTAGATTGAAGTTGCATTCATGGACTTGTAGGAATGACTTGACAATTATGTATATTTTGAGTCCTAGCGGGACAATTATGCTCAAGTGTTGCACAATGATATTTTTATGATATGATGCATAAAACATCGTTTTCCAATTAATTGACCTTATTAAATCATCAAACACATGAGAAAGTGCAAGATTAACTATATCTCTCTAATTTATGATTTTCTAATAACTCATATTCTATTGCATTCAGGGATTGATTTAATTTTAAAATCAAGTATAAGTTTAGCATGGTCAAATAAGTTTAATGTGAGATCTCTAAAAAAGTTGAATGTGGTAAACATTAATAGTGTATGATACCATATTAGAGGTCATCATATCTAACAATCTAAACTTGAGAAAGATAACATTTCCAATGAAGATTAAAGATGTGGAGTTCATGAATAACATGAATAACAACTAGGGATTTAAGGAGAACAAGTACATCTCCCTGACAAAATGATACCATAAACTTAATATGGAGGTACGAATATGTAATAACGTATGAGTAAACTTGGAATAATTATAATATTTCTATTATTTATATTTTTTAGGAGTTTGAATTATTATCAAATTAAGAGAATTGTCGCTGACAAAAGATTCAAACTCAGCACCTTAGAGTCGAAGGTCGATACTCCAACCACTAAGCTACTAGGAATTTCGATAATAACTTATACATAAATTATATTTATATACAAATAAAAATGTATATCCATATAAATATATAAATATAAAATATATAAATACAAATACAAATATATTTATATATTTATATGTTGGATGTGAGGGCGCGCTCGAGGATGAAAGTGTGTGTCGAGTGAATTTTCAAAATTTGATGTCAAATTTGTGAGCTGAGTCTCTTTATATAGATATAACTTAATGACAAAATATAATCTTTATAATTTATTTATATAATGATATAAAATATTATTTTTTTCTTTATTTTATATCATTATATAAATTAATTATAAAGATTATATTCTATATTATTATAAATAAATTATAAAGATTATATTCTATTATTAAATTACAAATTTATATAAAGAGACTCGCTCACAAATTTGACATCAAATTTTGAAAACCCACTGACACACACTTTTACTCGAGCATTCTCACATCCAACATATAAATATATTTGTATTTATATATTTTATATTTATATATTTACATGGATATACATTTTTATTTGTATATAAATATAATTTATTTATAAGTTATTATTAGAAAATCTTAATAGTTTAGTGGTTAGAGTATTAGTCTTTAATTCTAAGGTACTTAGTTTGAATCTTACCAAGTAATAATTCTTTTAATTTTATAAAAAGACTTTCTACATCGGTTCATCCGGAAATCGATGTAGAAATTTCTACATCGGTTCTTAAAGAACCGATGTTAAAAGTGATTTATAAATGTGGTAAATTTTTTTATATAAAATTGTAACTTTTTTATATTACTTATAAATTATAATAAAAATAAAAAATAATTTAAATAATTTTATAAAATATCACAAGTAATTTTTTAAATTTATATATAAATTATTTTTTTATGAAATTTTTAATGAAATTTTTTAAATAATTTTATTTATTTAATTATATCTTTATTTTAATTTATATTTATTTCAATTAAAATAAACGATAAAAGGTATTTTAATCCTTCATTAATTTAACCAGTTATTTAATTTTTGTAATTAACTAAATCAATCATACCTTTTATACTATTTTCACTTATTTCTTTGACTCTCTTTCCTCAATATAATCAATCTCACTTTCTACTATATTTTTCTTTTCTTTTTCATTGCGTGGAATCCATCCTCGATCCCATCATCAGCTTAAGGATATTACAGACTGTGCGTGGATGGAGGAAGAGTTTGTAATTCTTGGAAGCTGATTGGGCTAATGGGCCGTGAAGAAGAATGACCCAAAAATAATAAAAATAGAAAAGAAAAAGAACGGGGAAGAGAAGTAAGGGGTGGAGTAGGGTGAGGGGAGGAATGGAAGAGGAAGAGAAAGAAGGTACGATGGAAGAGGGTAAGAGTATGAGTCGAAAGGAGAAGAGGAAGGCATTGAAGAAAATGAAGCGGAAGCAGACGAGGAAGGAGGCGGCGGAGAGGGAGCGGCGGGAGGAAGAGGAGCGCCTCAACGATCCGGAGGAGCAGAGGCGGATGCAGTTGCTGGAGCAGGAGGAGGCGGAGAGAATGCAGAGGGACAGGATCCTCTTTCAGGAGAGGGAGAAGGCTTTCATGGATATCATAATCACCCGGCAAGAGCAAGAGCAAGAGCAAGAGCGAGAGCGAGAACAAGAGCAGAGCATCGATCATGATCATGACCATGACAATGAATTTGACTACGCGGTGGAGGAAGAAGGCCCGCCAGAGATTATTTGGCAAGGGAACGAGATCATCTTCAAGAAGAAGCAAGTCAGAGTTAGGGTTACGGACCCGGACAATCACAATAACCATTCGCAGCAGCGTGGGGACAATAGACCTACGTCCAATCCCTTACCTCCGGAATCCGAATCGCACACTCAGACCCTCCAGGATGTTGCTCAACAAGTGCCTAATTTCGGAACTGAACAGGTACCTCTCATTTCATCCCATTTCGTTTCAATAATCTTCTCAATCACTCACTGTTTCTGCATCTGCCTTTCCAGGATAAAGCTCATTGCCCTTTTCATCTAAAAACGGGAGCATGTCGTTTTGGTATACGCTGTAGCAGAGTTCATTTTTACCCTGATAAATCATGCACTCTTCTCATAAAAAACATGTACAACGGTCCTGGCCTTGCTTGCGACCGGGACCAAGACGAGGGCCTCGAGGTCTGTTCATTCACTTCATCGTATCCTCTTCTCCTATCCTCTTCATCCTTTACTTACTTACATCAACCCATGCTCTTCTTTCTTTTAAATCAACAACTAAATATCACTCCCTTCTGCATTTATTTAATCATCATCATCATCATCATAAATCCAATTCAAACTATTTTATTCTATCTTCATCCTCCCCTTACGTCTTATGTACATCAACTTAGCATCGTTTTAGGTCCTTAAATTCATTTTCTTCATTGCAAATTCCATGCACTTTCTTCATCTTATATTTGTACTTTTCAAAGGAGTCTATTCAATTCTTTGACTTAATTATAATCACAGATTCATTTTTCTGGAGGCTAATGATTTTGGCCTATTTCTCAATGTCAAAGATATTGGCCGTTGTATCCTACTTGCTGAGACTGGAAATAAGCTATTGCTGTTAATCCTATTCCCGCTTGTTACTCGTTTAATTCATTTCCTTTAATTTTCCATTTGCTTTTATTTGCCCCCGCCCCTTTTTCCTTGATTTTATTTACAATCCAAGTCTTTTTTTTATTCACAATACCATTAGCATCATACTTCTGTGACAATTTTTTACAGTAGCAGGGGAAGATTTTTGTTTTTGATAATGTTTGAATTAATATAATGTCAACATAACATTTTAAAATGGATTCAATAATTGGACTGATTATTGAAAACTTTTTTTTTCCTTGGGATCTTTGTTACAGCTTCCAAAATCTAATACTCTAATAATTTACATGTTCATGCTCCTTAACCATACATAGTTGTCAGGCGTTATCCAAGTTGTCTTGCCTTATGGACCTACGTTGCAGATTTATAGTCATGACCTTCAAAGTGTTTGAGATTGCGGCAGCAAGAGCATAAAAATGTTGATTCAGTTAGTCATTTTAAAAGTACATTGTTACTGTGATTTTTCTACATTTTATCTTTTTCCTGCAGGAGGATCGGAGAATTTTACCCATAAACGTTTTTGTGTTATGTTTTATCTACTTGTTTGATCTACTTGTGTCTATAAACCTCAAAAGTCTCGATGGCAAAACATGCTTTGCATTCTGTTTTCATGTTTTTTGGTTCTTGTATAATTAGATGGAATCATTCTAGACTTTCCATAAGAATAAGTAAATCTCATAGTGCACTTCATATCAGACGCCACATTTTCAGGGTTAATATATATTCATTATTTCATTATGGTACTGATACCTTATATATCATTATGAACCACAAAATTCAAGACTTTTTAGTAGACACAGTACTTAATACTGGTTAAGATAGAACAAATGTATTAGTTTTCATCAAATATATTATTTTAATGTACAAATTTCAACAGTATGTAACTGATTTTTTTGTTAAAATGCTCTGTAAAATATTTATCATTCCTTGTCCCATTTCATGGCTGGATAGCAAAACCTTAACTATAACATGGAGTACTGGACTCTCAATTCTGGGCAACTTAAGTAAACTGTTGTGGGGGATACTTCTATAAGCCATCTGGAATGGTGCACCAACAACTTCGAGGAACAATCACTTTGTTACTTCAGATGAAACTAGTACTCTGGTTGTTTGAATACTTCAGGCCTGTCCTTTGGGCTTAGGAGTAGTGTGCAGAGTCTATACAGAGTTTTTGGTGATGAGATACTTCAGGCCTGTAAGCCATCAAAGATTTTAGGCAGATTTCGAAAGTTTGCATTGGATTGGGGTAGAGTGTTAGGATTTCTAAGGCAGTTTGTGTAATGCAACTGCTATGGGGGAGGGTTTTCTCTTGGCTTCTCTTTTATGTTACCTGCCAACATTCTGTATAAACCTGAGGGTGCATTATGTTTCAGTTTTTGTATGTTATTTCTCCTTTTTTATTTCCCATATATTAATCTTCCCATTTGCCATAAGCCAAAAATTTTAGCATCTTTTTCATCCCATATGCACTATAGAGAGAACTGAAACTGGCATCTATTTCACTAATTCTCTTCACAATTTTTTTAAAATTCATAAAAACAATTACAATGGTTTTATTTTTATCCAAAAATTTTTACAACATATGAAGACTATTTTAATTTTTAATTTCTCATAAAACTAGCACTTTTAGTACTCACTCCATCTTCTATTACTCTTTCTATACACAGATACACGCCATGTGTATGTGCTCCACATACAATATATTTCTTAAATTATGATTGTTTTGTGTAAATAATTCAGCCTTTTTTTTCTTCAAAAAACTCTTAAGAAACCTTGTGTCAAGCCTTTTTTTGGCCTCAAAATAAGTGTTGTCATATTTAAACTGTTTAATTACTATATTGAACTCCATCTATGCAATCGTGAGATTGGAAGTTTTCTTCAACTTCAGTTGGGCCTTCATTACGCAACTCCATGTTAACATAAATATATTTTGAAAATATAAGTGAATGTCTATAATAATAATATTGCTTATTATGAATGTTCCATTTATCTTAATTTGTACTTTCATCATACAAAAATGTATTAAATGATGATATGTGTGCATTTTCTTGGATTAATACTTCTAGTCCTTTATATGAGAAACAAATACGTTGTATTGATATGTGTGCAGTTTCTTGGAGTAATACATCTAGTCCTTCATATCAGAAATACTCTAGACTTAAGTAGTATAAGTGTTGGTTGTATTGAATGACACTGCTCATTATTCAAAGGATAATTTTTCCCATCAAGGAGTGTGACTTACATAGTTAATAGGCAAATGAATGCATCTACCTGTATGGGAGATGAATTAATATATATCATTAATAGACATCACAATAATTCAAGGGTGTAAAAGGAAGTTAAAATTTAATATATTTTTGAAATAGGTCTATGTTTCCTGTAATTAGGACCAGAAAATGACACCCCTTTGTTTCTATTATAAATGACCTTATATAATGTCATATTTCAATACATAATATCTTCTTTGACCTGTTTAACCCCGTTTCCAGTATACAGATGAAGAGGTTGAACGCTGTTTTGAAGAATTTTATGAGGATGTCCACACAGAATTCTTGAAGTTTGGGGAAATTGTGAACTTCAAGGTTTGTGTGTGTTTAACTTCTGAAATTTTGGAAATATATTTCTCATTTAAGTTTAGCATTTAATTCATTTTAATGAAATCTCCAATATCTTCGAATAAAAGTTTATCAGTTCTCTGTGAAGTATCACAAATGCTAATCAAATATGTTTATTTCCAACTACATAGAGAGGACAAATTAAATAAAACGGAACCATTCAGCCATTGTTTAGCCTGTATCTAAAACTTTACTACTGAACCATTCTGCCATCCACCATGCCATTGCAGCAATTTCTGAATCAGCTGCCTGGAATTAGTAACTGATTTAAAATTAAGCAAAAAAAAGGAACATAGTTTTTCCTTTTTGTGAATCAATAGAACAATATTTTGAAAACCAAAATCGCAGCACTTGTTAAGACATTTTGAAGATCTTGAGTCATTTTCTCTTTGATTCCCTGCACCTCCTCTTCATGTACACTTTTTTTCATCTCATGGTACTAATCTTATCTATATATCCTTGTCAGGTCTGTAAAAATGGCTCATTTCACTTGCGAGGAAATGTTTATGTACAGTATAAATCATTGGATTCTGCTCTGCTTGCTTTTAACTCGGTGAATGCTCGCTACTTTGCTGGAAAACAGGTATCACGTTTCTATATTGTTTTTGCCTAATGAAATCATTAATACTGCAAGTATGAATTTTGAGAAAGCTCCAAGTAATTCCTTTGGGACTTCATCTATACTTTGTTCAGTAACTTGCCCATTTACTGTTTATTTTTTTAATTTATTTATGTCTTGTAACTCTGGTTATATTGGATAAAAACCTATAAATGTTTGATTCAGAAGTGGTTAAAGGTGGAGCATATTTTTGAGGAACTTTTTCTGTATTGAAAGCTTAAATGTTTTATACATTGGATGTTCTGACAAATTTTTCCAAAGGATGGTTGTTTTTGTTGATAGATTTAGATTCATATGTTTGTCTCATCAGGCTATGCTTTATGGCAGGTAAGTTGTCAATTTGTTAACTTGACAAGATGGAAGGTTGCCATATGTGGCGAGTATATGAAATCAGGTTTCAAGGTATACAATTTATATTGATGACTACTATATTATGTTTTATCTTGGTTACAACCAAGTGCTGCTGGGTTTTCATTTGTGCAAAAAATATAAACTCTTAGTTGGTTGCGACTGAAGCTTTTAACTTCAAAAAATTGTTGGAAAATGTTTTGAATTGATGAATCATGCTCACAGTGGTGTTCCTTTCTTGTATCTTAACAGACTTGTTCTCATGGAACAGCATGCAATTTTATTCACTGTTTTCGTAATCCTGGTGGAGATTATGAATGGGCTGATTCTGACAAACCTCCTCCAAAATTTTGGGTAAAAAAGATGATCGCTTTATTTGGTTATTCTGATGATTACGAGACTTCAAGGGAGCAAGGAAATCTGAGTTTGTCAAAAATAGATTCTGAGAGGTGTGGTTTCACTTTGTTGTTGCTCATTACATGACATATGCTTAATTAAATTGGTTAATGGACAAATTGTAACCAACGTAGATGGTTGTAAATTAAACAAATATGTGGTAAATTTTAGCATGGAGAATAGGGCTGAGTGTTCGTAACGGTTGAAGGCTTTTAGAGCAGGCATGATGCAAATCCTGTTTAATGTTGTATATATTATTCATCCAAAAGATCAAGAATCATCTAGAGAGAATGTGGGGAGAACATTGGTGGTCAGATTGCTGCTGGGCACCTATGACTTTGACAAGCAATTCTGAATTTCTTTACAGTTTTAAAATAAATAAAACAATAATTAAGCCCTTTTGCACTAGTTAGGGTTGGCTAGATGGATTAATCACGCCACAAAATTATGTTGTGAATTATGTTTATTGACAAATCATTAGCCTCTAAATCCTTATTTGTTTCACCTATGGTTTTTCTGTTTCTGTTTCTAGCTATCCTCCATTTGGTATACTCTCCTTGCTGGGTTTTCCCCAAACCAACACAGGCCCATTTGTTTGTAATGGACATCTATCTATCAATACATATGTGTGTGTGTGTGTGTGTGTGTCCTCTGCTGTGAATTAACAATAGGGTGTTTCATTATATGACTTCACCATTTACTTAACACATTTTTTAGCTTTTCATGTCTTGTAGTTGGATGTTTAATTTTCCTTCGATTTTAAGTGGTACGTTTTGACATAGATAACACTTGAGTAACTCTTCAATTTTGGTCTTCCTGCATGAATCCTACAGTTTACATCGCCTATTCCTATTGTCTTCTAATATGAAAACCATGGATACTCAAGCTATGTGACCTGCGGAAGAACAATCTAAAACTTACTATCAGATAGAAGAAAGTTTTTTAAGAATCCACTGTACAGTTTGCTTTGTACCTTGCTTCATTTGGGGAAAACTAAAGTTGTGGCTAAGAAAATTATTGATGCGAAGAAAATATACTTGGAACAGTTTCCTTCAGATGGAAGTTCAAGTTGTCCAATGTCTTGATTTATCTTATCATATTTTATTTATTTATTACAGTATTTCTGTATATTTTTGCATGTGAATTTATACTTGTTCTTATAGTATCATAATCTTTTGAAGGTACTACTCTAGAAGGTCAAGATCTACGGAGATGGATCAGTTAAATTGTGGTCATTCTGGTAGAAGAAAACAGGAAGATGAAAGAAAGCAAAGAACTCCCGATGAGAACCGGAGTGCCACCTTCAAAAACAATCATAAAAGAAGATCCAGGGGCAGAACTCCTGATACTGATTCTGACAGAGAATGGTTAGAAAAGGAGGAAAATAGGGAAAGACGCCATGAATACACTAGGAATGGCACATTTAACAAGAACAGGGATGACAATAGAAGAAGCCAAGGGGATTCTGATGTGGATTGTGATAGTAGGCACAATGAAAAACGGCATGGTAGAGAAGGAAGAAACCCAAGAAAGTGCAATAGGGATATCAGGGTCTGCATTAACGAGGCTGGGCTGGATGGGGATAGGGTTGAGAAAAGGCAACGTCTTAGCGAAAGCCCAAGACATCAAAGTGGCGATGCTTCTGAATCCCACAAAGATTTGTTTGGTAGAGTGGCGATGGAAACACATGATTACTCACGGAAAAGCTCGAGACACAGAAGATCGGGTCTCCAGGATGACTATAGATACTATGAGACTGAAAATGACAAAGCTGATGGAGATTGGTCTCGGAAGCAGAGTTACAAACGAGAACATCATCACAAAAAGAAGAGATCAAAACATTAGGAGAACTTGATTCTATCAGGGGGGAGAGGAGTAGAGTGGTTCTTAATTGTTGTTACTAAAGATATTAAGATTTAGCATCATACTTAGAAGAATGGTTTTGACCTGAGTATTGTTGGAAATAAATGTTATAAAAATATTTAAACCTTGCGCTTTTCTGTAAATATGTCAACCGTGAAGCATATTGAAATCCCTCCAAAATAGTATTTAGGAAGGAGTGTCCAATTTTACTTTTACAAATTTCGTACAACATTATGCTTCATAAAGATTCATTTTAATGATTGTCAGAAGATTTCGGGACGATTCGCGTGAATTAAATTAAAAGCAGTCTGATTTAATGAGGGTAAGCAGACTAACGTCACAAGCAGGTTTTATTGAAAGATTATTAATCCAACAAGAAGTAAAATAACCATGTAAACAAAGGATGTGAGCTGGAGGACGGTACCTTTCACACTAATTAGAGTTTCTATATTTTATCTCCAATCCAAGCACATGAACGAAGCTAAGATGTTTATAGGGGTGGTACATAAGAAAGAAGGAGCATGCATGATGGGTAATTGATTGAAATCAAACTACTTCTCTGGTGTGAAAACATGGAAACAGGCAGCGAAACAAATAAGAACCAAAGCTAAAAACACATCCAAATTGACCAGTTGATCTTTCTCTTTCTGTTTTTCCTCTTGCAGCTGTATGACTAACTGGGACTGGAATGCCATAAACAGGTTCTGAGACTGATACCATATATTGGTGGTATGATGATGAGTTTGAGGTGCAGCTGACTGGGCTAGAATCTTGGAGTTGAGCTACTTTCGGCTCCGGCAAGAATGTGCCATAGCTGTGTTCTTCCACATGAAGCCATGAAGAAGGTAAGGGTGGAGCTGATGGCTGGGTGTTGGATGAGGAACAAGAGCAGCAACAGTAGTGTGGTTCATGCTCATGCCCATGCTCAAGCCTCTTCTTCCTTTTCTTTTTGGCCCAATACCTGAGTTTCTTCACAGCTTTGATCACGTTTTTCATCAAGCTTCAAATGGGATAGCGATTTGCATTGGCATTTGCATATATTCAACATCTTTGACAGCTGATAAGCTTTTAAATTAAAAGGAATATAGGAGCGCCCTAAAGACGTTTTCGTTACTTTTCTAATATTTGACCGTTATCTACCCACCACTATTTTACACCTTATTTACGTTACATGACAAGTTAATTTATTTATTACTATTTGCCTGTTCTAATCCAATTTCTCATCAAAGGTATGTAAAAATCATGATTTGAACTGCAAAATTGTGCTTGGACAAAACATGCGAAATTCAATATCGAGAAATTGAAAATTTGATTCGCCCATCCTTTTTCTTCATTTGCCTTTTAAGTCATAATCTGCGGATTTTTTCGGTCAATACGATGATCTGTCCATAGCTAGAATTTAATTTCTCAAGCCAGTAGAGCCGATAAATTCCTCACAAGGCCCACTTATACCTTATTCAAATTCAAATTCTTTAATTTTTATAATTTTATTCCAGTAAAACTTGCACTGAGCGCGAGGATTGATTTTTTGTGTGTGAAAGGAATACGTAATATTCTTTTTTATTAGTTCATACATATATTACCCCAGACAAAGCTATCTATTTTCTAAAAATTTAGAATTCACAAGATTTTGTCCTTGTTTTTTTATTATCATTTAAGCAATCTTAGTACTACAATAAGAGTTTGATTCAGAAAATAAAAAAATTAATTAATAAAATATATCGATATTACTTGGAGTTTGGTTATTGATAACACGAAGCATATACACAATGTTCACAAAGTTATTTTTCTACTCTATTACTTATACTATAATATAAATATTATTGCCCGTAATAATATTAGAATAAACAATATAACATTATTTTAATATATTAACTAACACAATTATTAAAACAAATAACATTATTGATGTTTTGAAAAATACGGAAGAAAATGAGATGAAAAACAAAAGTGATTGTTTATATATATAGCATGAAAAATATATTAATTACGGAATTAAATTTATTTATTAGGAAATTTATTTATCTGATAATTTTAAAAAATATAATTTTTGTTGCATATTATAGTGATTAAACCATAACTCATGTTAAGTCATTTAGTAATTTAGGTGGTGGAAGAAAAACATACCATAAAGATGTTTATAGTAATATCACTTCAGTAATTTAAACATAATTAAATGAATATTTTTGTTGGAAACTAAAATTACCTACTAGAAACGATAACAAAATCATAAATCTTATAATGAAACAAAAAATACAGTCCAACCTAATTAATATTAAATATTAATTACAATATCATTTAATGTTAGTTTGAACTAAGGAGAATTATAGTTGTGCATTTAGGTTGTAATGGAATCAACGAGACTCACCATCACATGTTCGAATCCGATTAGGTTCAATATTTTCATTTTTATCGATAATGGGTTAAAAATAAACTCAACTCACTTAACCCACCAATTAAGTGAGTTCAAACCAAATTATAGGAGGATGACTCATAACCCATCATTCATTTTAAATTTTAAAAATAATTACAATAATTTAATAACCTTAATTAATGTTATCTTGTTTCTCAACCTCTATTCCACACCATCGCTACAAATCAAATATTCACTCAAACTTATCATCAATTTTTCATTGCTTCACTGTATTTGTCATTGCACATGAACCGTTTGTCATCCATTTGTCACACCACTACACCATCGTGTTTGTTGTATTTTACACAATTTTAGTCATGTCATAACGTTTGTTACAGAACAATCCCACGTTTCAGTCGCGCCACAATGTTTGTCATATTACCATATCATAACGTCTCAATCCCATATTTTAGTTGTATTACAACATTTACCCCTGCCACCACGTTCATCGCCCGATTGCATTCGTTGCGCCATCACGACACCCTGCCTTAATTGCACTATAAGTTTTACTACATTTCAATCGTATCACACATGTTTTAGTGTCATTATGTTTCAAACATGCAATTCTGAGTATTAGAAAAAGAAAATTGAAGTAAAAAAATAAATAAATTTTAGTGAACCATCCCAATTAATCACCAACCATGACTCAATTGTAAAAATTTTGCCGAATTAAGTATCTATTTTCGGGTTGGTGAATCAACTTAACTGATTGTCTAACTTTAACACCCCTAATTTACATTAATATCACATAATTAAAATCAGAGAATTAAAATTATGGAGCACTAAGATTAATTTGACCAAAAATCATATTAACGGATGATTAAACTTCAAATTCGACTAAGTAGGGGACTTAAATAAAAACCCCGGCAGCAAAGAATAGTGCAAATTTCGAAAGAAATACAGTCGAAATATAATAAAATATTACCTAATACTAATATATAGTATGTATGTATGATAAACAAACAAGTTGACACCGTCAGAAACGTTCAATTCCATAACAAGAAAAAGATCTTTCGGCAGAGTACCGAGTAAAGAACTCAACAGTCACCTAATCTGCGATGTCACAATATTCAGATGAAACTTCCTCGCGACTAAGACTCAATCTGCTTGGCAGAGGAAATTACTGAAATTAACAAAAAAAGTTAAAAAATGGCGCGATATACATACATTAAATAGTATGTGTATTATAGAAAGTTATATATACAGAAATGAGATGCATCACATCAAGTGAATTACAAACGAAACACAAAGCAAAATGCATGCATGTAAGATACTTGACCAAAAGACATTTCTTTAAGCTCGCAGCCCAATACAAAACTGAACAAGCAATGACCTCGAGACTCTGAAAGCGGAGCTACGAAAGAAATATAAGAGCCACATCACCCCTAGCCTTATCTTTCAATGTAGATCAAACAGCATTTTATCAAATCAACCCTCTGCTTTGGTGCTGTCATGCTGTTCCTGTAGAGATGACATGCTCCTTCTAGGCAATGAGGAAGTGTTTGCCAGGTTCATTCTCATTTTTCTCCTATAGGCCATGACGAAGTGCTTGCCATGTCCATACTCGTTTCTCTCACGTTCTACTTCCTACTTTCATGCAAATATCTATTGTATAACTGAAATATTGGAAGACCTAAGACATTAACAACCGGACCCCACAATAGATGACTGGTCCTCGGGATTGACTACTGCTTCACAGTCCATTTTGCTGGGTTTAACTTCTTCACTGATTGGAAGTCCAATTTTGGGTGAAAGCTTCTTTACTTCCTCTGCAGTGTAAATGAAAATTTTCCTCACAATGCTACAAAACTCACTGCAGTAAAAAAGCAAGAAATAATTTAATATACAGATATAATGTTATGCCACAAATAAAGTGTCCGAGTAACTATATGCTAGTGTCAAAATATCTTACAGCCATGGATCATCCCCAACCATCATCATATCATCTTCATTATCAGTGTACACAACCTGCCATTTTTTGGTGGATCCACAGAGCTCATCCTTGATGTCAAACATTTCTTCCAATTTCCTTAGCAGATCCTCATATCCATCAAACCGTGTTAAATCCACAGCCCTTCCGACAGCCATACCTTGCATGTGAACCTGGGATAATATAAAACTTGTGTATCATAAATTTTATTACTAATATCAGGAACAAAAAATCTCATACAAATCTGTACAGTGAAGATGTAAATATGCAATATATAAAAAACTTGTCATACAGTCAACTAAATTTGAACATAAGAAAATTATGCCAACTGCCAAGAATATTACAGGATTTCAAATTAAAAGGCAGGGGATGCAAGATAATATTACAGGATTGTAAACTGTATTTGAACATAGGAAACTTATGCCAACACCAGAGCTAGCAATTATACTACCTTTGTGCAGCTTCTTATTTGCCTGCTCTGAGACTCCTGGGGAGACCGCAGGCATGATTTTTCAGCATCACAGCTTACTGAAGGAATATCAGATCGATTAATATTTGATGGTTCAGAATGCTGGTCAGAGTCAGCATCCAAAGATGGAAGGGGGCCATCATCACCCACCCTTCCTGATAAAGCGACCATTGGTAGCTCTTCCCCATTAGAATTATCAAGTAACTGAATCCCAAAGAGCCTACATCCATTTGCAGTCCCTTGTCTTTTCTCTCCAGATTCTTTAAGTGCTAAAGGTGAAAAAGATTCTGTCGTGTTTTCAGTCCTACTTGACCAATATATTGATTTGTTGGAAGCAGAACAATTCCCACCAAAACCAAGGAAGCCAGTTGTAGTAGAATTGAATTTGGGTGATGGAAAGATGTCTCGCCCATGTTGATGGTCACGATAAGAGAATGGCACAGAATCAACTGGTGATTTCCATACACCTGATGCACCAGAGTAGGAAAATTTGAGAAAAAGCAGCATGGATAACACAGTTTTATGGAGAAATTATGTATGGTCATGCCACCTTGCAGAGAAGAATCAGGAATTGTTGAAGGTAGAATGGGAGGCCGTGATCTCTTGTTTCTTTGGGATGGCTGGGTGTTTGTAGGAGGGGAAGACAAAAGTGGCTCCAATTCCCATGGAGAAACTCTATCAGGACGCAAAATAGATGATGGTTCATCCCATTGAACCTGAAATACATTATAGATCGTCAGACTAGTGAACCCAAAGCTGCTAGGTAAATTTCAAATCCGGGTAATTTATTCAGATATCAGCATGTTGTCTTTTCATGCACACAAAATCACACCCATTTTCTGGCATCTAAAATCATTATTTTTTTTAATAGCATCTCTTTCCTTATAAGCAAATGTCCAACCATTAAGGAAATATCATTATTATTAGATTGTTCCATGGACAAAACATCATCATTACTGACCTTTCTTGACCAACTCAAAATATAAGGCAGAATAATCTGTTTTTTTGGTACTACTTACCTTAATTTAAACATGGTTGGAAAGTTTTTAAAAACATTGAATTCCATTGAATGCAAGCTACAGAAACTAAAAAAGCATTTGAAGGGTAACAGAAGCCATACTAACCTTTAATGATCGCCACTCTGAATCAGTCCAGACTGAAGATTTATTATCTCCAACACCCACAATTGTACCACTGAACCTGTATTCAGGGGGAGGGGTGTGTCAATCAGATTGCACAAGGCACTTAAATCAAAATATAAATTTTCAAACCAAACAGATACTGTACCTTCTTTCAGGAACTTCATCACCCTCAAATCTCATTTTGAATCTCATCCCAACAGAAAGTTTATGATTTTGAGCTTCAAGATACTTGTTGACACTCACAATAAATTCAGACCGGCTAGTTCTATAAAATGAGTATTGATAAGTCAGCAGAAAGTCTCAACTCAGTAAAGCATCAAAACCAAGCTTAATTATCATCCTGGTAAAATTATTTCATCAATAAAGAAAATAGTCCAATAATTGCACAAAGGCAGGCAAATAAATATACAAACACAAAAAAAAAATGTTAGTTCAAGGTATCATTAATGTTAGCAAAACAACACTGATAACATTATGAAATAAAAAATAACTTCATACCACTAAATACAATACCTGGGCTTGTAAAATACAGAAAACAACGTTCCTGTGGCAATGGCATGAGATGCAGTGGCCAGAACACCCAGATGCATACTGTGACTGGAAATAACAGAAGATGGCATGTTGCTTTGCTGTCTCATGAGCCTCCTAACCCCTACTCGCAGCTCTCCATTTTCACCCCTAGAATTACATACAAGAAAAGTAATAGGCACAATCATTAATAAAAAGGGAAAAAACAATGAAAAGTCTGCAAAGTACTTTGTCTTGCCCACAGAGGAAGGTACAATACTTCAACTAAACAACTTGCCTTAAGAATATAAATGCATCACCAGCCACTAACTTTTTGGAACTGACAAAGACACTCCACCCAGTGGTCAGTAAGTGGCGCCTGGGTTGCCCTGCACATTACTCTGCACAGTCAGGAACTTACTGACAAGATGAATATCAAAGCTAATTTCATCATCCCATATTCTACAGGTGGATAACATAATAGCGAGGTATTCCCATGGAAACCCAGAGTTATGAATGTCATGCAGATTTAGAAAACAGAACCTTTGGTGGAAAAGCTACTGATGAGTAAAATCCATTCAACTAAAGAAAATTACAACAGACAATGTAAAATGTTAACATTTAAGTAAACTATACACCCCAGAGAGTAAAACCTGAGTCAAGTTCCATTCTGTCAATAAGAGAAAGACTAGGTCAACTAGCAATATGAAAAAGTGACCTCATATATATACATTGCCGAAAATATTGACATCATATATAAAGGAAACAAATCCCTTTCCAATTACAACTCTATACAAACATTTTCTAATGAGTATTCCTGGCATTACAAACAAAAGTCCTAAAATTTGTTTTATTGAAAAGTTTGTGGTGTATTCCAAGAACAGTGTGCTTACTCAGCATAATCAATCTACAGAAATACACAATGACCCAACTCCTTAATAGGTTTTAATGATAAAACAGTCCAGAGATTGGGGGTGGAGGAGCTGCAAGCTACTTACCTCGAAAAATATGTCTAAAATGCCATTCATTGCCGTGCAGATCAGTTGCGACCAATTCTTGCCATGGTGGCTGCTGAGTCATATCCTGAACAAAGCATGGAAATTATATAGTAAGAAACAGCTGCAAATGATCATGACAATCAAGTGTGTCCAATGACCTTTGGAAAGATAAAAATTACTAACCAGTGGTGGCAAACAATCATCTGCATGTCTTCGAAGAACAGAGAAACCCCCATGGGTGCTAGTGTCAGAAGCAGTGAGTGTCTTGCAAAATGAATGAACTGTACACCTTGGAGGTTCAGCCAGAGGATTGTCAGGGCTTGTCACCTCGCTTTGCTAAACCAACAAGACAGAAATAAGAAATACACAAAATGAGATTTAAAAAAAAAACTAAATGGGTGTGAGACAATATGACTGGAAAATGTGTTGAGAGTGATAGGTGAAAAGAAAAGAATATGTTTAATATAACAACCATGTCAAACAAAGAATAAGTGAACACTCACATCTGCTTCAGGAAGTAAAGTTATTTGTGCATATACTTCATCTGTCTCAGGTTCAGCCTACATGACCGACATGAATTTAACCATAAAGTAATGATCATACTAGAGCACAAAGTTTGAAATCAAAACAAAAGTATCAAGATTGCAGAAGAAAATCATGACTCACTCGAAGATGAACATTGACCACTTTACATAATATTTTGGAAGGTAGATTAAAGGAAGGCATTTGCTGCTCCAATACCTGATTCATAGATGCCTCGAGCTATAAAATAAAAAAGCACATGTAAGATAAAACAACAACAAAAAGCATTGTGCTAAAGCTCGACACAAAAGAGAGTCTGGAATTATGGATCAAAGTTACTTCTAAATTATGATTTGAAATGCTGCTATTCATGAAAGAAACGGCTCCTTACAATGTAATAATCAAACAATTAAAATGAGAACAAACTTAGATGATGGATGCAAAAGAAGCATGAACAAACACAATTGGGGCAGATTTAAAACTCGACAAGCAGCATATCATATACACAAAGGCAGATCCCACCAGAAAGTAAGCCAGGTCAATGACAAATAAATATTTTCCAGATAAAACTGTTATGAGGAAACATTGTAAGTGAACCATGCAAATACCAATAAGATCTTAATTGAAAACAAAACAATTAGCTAGTATCCAAAGACATGGTCCGGAGGAAGGATAACAAAAAGTAGTAGCACATGCATCGCACTTCAATTTAAGTCAGAAATTATGAGCAGATACCCAGGTAACTTGTACCTGTTCCATGTGACCTTGGGGGAAGTAATAAACTCTCTCCCCTTCACGCGGGAGCGTGACAAGGGGTCCAGCACAGGCATGCCACAATTCCTTGTATAATGCATCATTGGTCGCACCTATAAAACAAAATGGCAACACATGAATAAGTCATGGGTGACCCAAATGGCCAAAAAGAGAGAAATATATTATAGCAGAGCCACTGAAAGGGTTTGCATGTTTCCAGAAATTTTGACAAAAAAAAAATGCTAAAACTATTACTTATTAGATGATGTCATTTTATTGAAGCTGCAGCTATAGGTACCAGCAACTATTTTATGAGGAAACAGATAAGGGTGAAGGAAGGGTTTGCCGAGGCAAAATGCTACCCACAGCAAGGGAAGCCCTACTATTATGTGGTATGGCAGCTTACAGTAGTGGTATGTACATAACAGTATACTTAGGCATAAATAATACGGTAGCAAAGCAAGCATATAGGTCGAATCGAAGGAAGAGAGAGAGAGAGTAGGAAAAGTAGAGTTGTAAATGAGGCATTTGTGAATGAGAATTTATGAGAAGCAGCATTTGCATTCAATGTGAATTAACTATTAAAAGGAAAGGGAGTAAACACACAGAATAAATAAGGGCAAAGCAACAGTGAGCAAATATGAATAAGAATGTGAGGAAAGCATGTTATTTAATTTAGGAATTAGAAGCAATGAAATCAGTAGCAAGATAGAGGTAAACCTGGTGCAGCGGAAGCCATGTCCAAGAGAAGAGAAATGAATTGTTGTTGTGTTGTGTGCCCTAACTATTCGACGAGAAGAGAATCGAGAAGTCAATTGAGACGAGGAAGAACCAAAATGGTGCGCGCTGATGGATCCACTCGACCACGATTGCAGAAACAAGTGAGTAGGGTTTAGGGATTGAGAAGCAGGCACAGATCGAAATTGAATCGCCGATAAGGTCGTGTTTGGTTCAAGCCGACACCACCTCTACTTTCTAATTCTACACACCGCACCCCACGATACACTTACTACTACTTCCCCATTATTAGTAAGAAGAAAAATTAACCGGATTTCATGATAAATAAATAAATATATATATATATATATATATATATATATATATATATATATATTCTTTTTTTTTTTTTTTACTTGTGGAAATCATTAATTGTAAGAATTGTGATTTACAAGCAAGATTAAATTTAGTTGGACAGGTAAAAAATATTTTTTTATAACTCAAAGAAAAATATATTATTTTTATTAAAATATTTATTTTATTATCATATTAAATCATGAAAAAAAAACATATTTTCAGTTTTCCCAAAATCTAGAATCGGAAAACTATGCTTCGTTGACCATTGAAAAATAATATTTTAAAAATGATTTTTGGTCAAACGTTGTCATGTAACGTAAAAATCTAACTTTCTTCAAATTGAAACGACCATTGTAATAGAAAAATGCAATGTTATTTTTATTAAATGGTGGTGATAAATTAAATATTTTATAAAAATAACTAATTTTTTTTTAATTATAAAAACCAAAACACATAATTTATTCACTCCTAAAAATCGTAATTTCTAGGTAAATTTTTTATTTAAACTCAACGAAGTTCATAAGAGTTGTGGGTTTCTGGTAATATTATGTTTCAAAAAGTAAATTAACATTCATCAACTTAGTTTTGTAATTTTAAATTTCATGACAAATAAACACTTATTATTAAATGTTTTATCACAAGTGGAAATACAAGCACAAAGTTGTCCATATTTTATAAAGATAAATCATATATTTTTAGAAAAATAATTATAAACAATTTAAAAATTAGTTATAAAATATTACGAGTAAAATAGGAAAAGATGAACGTTTATAAAATTCAGAAAATAAAGATATTATTATTTTTTATTATATTTTAGTTTTATTTTGTTAACATTATATTTAATAGGAAAATCTTATTATCCCAATTCTAAAATGAAAATTTAAGTATAATGGAAAAACAACTCATTAAATAAATTTCGTATGGTATTTAAAATTCATTTTATGATTAAGTATATAATAATTTGTTATTACATATACCTTAAAAAAATAAGAAAGATTTATAGAAGATAAAAGATAGTAAAATTTTTCTCAATTTATCCACTTCGTAAATTATGTATACTTTTTGCGTTTATTTAAATTCTTACTCTCTTTTTTATCGAAAAGTAACAAATATTTTTTCTTTAACCGTATATATATATATATATATATATATATATATATATATATATATATTAATCACATCACCTAATGTCAATTATTTTATTTGATGTGTATCACTTCTATTAAAATTTCAATAAAAATTATATTAATTTTATTAACCGTTTCAAGATATTTTATTTTGATAATTTTTTTTTCTTGATTAGGACGTAATAAATTAGTTTTCCACGGATAGATCTCCTTTTTATATTATGACTACATTTTTTTTCTTTTATATTTTTTCAATTTGCCCTTCCTTTTATAACATATATCCCATCAAACCTTTATTCAACAACCATTGCTTGACCTTCTTATGTCATGCACGATGCACAATCATGATACCACCATGAAAGATCACAAAGTGTTGGAGTAGGTTTCATGATAGATTTGTAGTGTATTTTTCAGTGTTTTTCATTGCAATTGAAGATGAGTTTTACTATGGGTTGCCTTGGGGTTCAGGTAGTTTATGGTGAATTCAGGATGTGATTTTTCACCTTCTTCGCACTTTCCTAATAAATAAACAAAAGGATGAAGTGTGTAAAATTATAGTATAAAGAACTTTTTCTATTATTCAATCACAAATTATCATATTTTCTAAGTTTAAAAATTAGAAATGGTGCGTTGTCTGAAGATAGCATAAATACACAATTGTAATTTTTTTTATTATTTAAAAATTATATTCATTTCATATCATTAAATTTTATGAATGATTTATTTGAATGTTATTTTAAAATTGTTAAATTTTAATTTTTTTTATAAAATATTTCAATTATTATCAAATTTAAAATTATCATCAATACACTAATTAATTGAGTCTAATTTATAATATTTGATATTCACCCTTATCGATCAAACTAAGCTTAGGTAGGTCATAACGAACTAAGTCAAGTCAAATTAGATTATCATGAATAAAATAATAACATCTTAATTGAGATTCGATTAAAAAGATTGAATCATGTCTTGTTAGACCTAATCAGATTGAAAGATTAGGAGCTAGGTTTGGTTAATAAGATTAAAATAAGTTGTGATAAATCAAAATAAATTAGGTAAGTTGATATAGGCTTAATCAGTTTGAGATAAAACAAGATTCGTTAGGAAGATTCAAATCAAGATATTTATGTTGAGTTGGAATGAACTATGTTGGAATAAGATTGACTCATGTGGGTTTGAGTGGATAATCTCAAGTTGGATCAAGTCAAGATAAATTATGTCAAACTAAATTAGGATAAGCTAACTTGTTTAGACGAGATCATGCTCATGCTTATCCAAGTCAGACAACTTCATAATAGATCTAAGTATAAACAAGTATAACCAAACCAAGTTATTCAAGATTGGTCAACTCAAGTCAAAATGGATTGGAATAAAAGTTTTTCAATTAAGACTAGATGAAAGAGTAAATATAGAGAGTAAAATATATAAATTTAAAAAAGAAAAAATGATGAAATTTTTCTAATTTTTATTTTTATTAAATAGAATTTAAAATTCTATAAATTTTAAATAATTAAATTACTTTAACAAATTGCTAAAATTTCATTTTGTCAAAAATTATTTATTCACATAACTTATTTTGTCATGAAACATCTTAAATTTTAAAAGATTTAAAATGAATTATCTTAAATTTCAAATATTATCTCTATTATTTCAAATTGAATATGAAAATTTGACGAAGTCTTTATGGAGAAATTAACATAAAATATTTAGTACTCAATCTCACATAGGTATGTCAATATGGATTGTAACGAGTTCAAGTTGAATTTGATTATTTTTTTATTAATAATGGGCTAAAAATGAATTAAACTCACTTAATCCATGGGTTAAACGAGTTGAATCTGGATTATGGTGGGTTAACCCACAACCCACCAATCATTTTAAATTTTAAAAATAATTATAGTAATTTATTAATTTTAATTAATGTTATCTTATCTCTTTACTTCGACTTCACATCACCCCTATTAGTCAAACCTTCACTCAAGCTTGACATCAATTATCAATGCAGCGCACACTGTGTTTGCCACTACGCTAAGGTTGATTGTCATCGTCCACACCATTATGTCACCATGTTCATTATGTTTGTTACATCAATATTTGTCATTCCACTATACCACTACATTTCAGTCCTACATTTCAGTTACATCATATAATTTGATGCATTTCAATCACGTCACAACATTTATTATGTCACTGTATCTTTGTATTTCAGTTTTGCAATTCAATTGTACTTATTAGAGACAAGTCAACCCACCTAATCCACCAACCTAATTATAAAATTTCTAACTCACAAGTAAACTAGATTAATCTTATCTATTTTTGATGAACTCTTTACACCCCTAGTCATACGACATGATACATTCTTTATTACTTAATTGCTATAAAGCATCAACTCCGACATCTCGCCTAACACACATGACACTGGCATGTACACCGAACTATAACACAGTTAATGTTTAAAATATAAGGATTATATGCACACGTGACCATAAGCTTATGTCAGTTCTTCTAAAAGCTAATGTACACACAACTGACAAGTATATATAATCAATTGTCAATGCAGCGCGCACCATGCTTACCATCAGTGGCAGATCTTCTTGGGAGCTGAGGGGGGGCCGTGACACCCCCAAAGTTTTGTAACTCCCATGTAATTTATGATTTTGACCCCCCGAAAACTTAATGAATATTTAATATATTTACTTGTATATTTACAATTTTATCCTCTCAGCCCCTCCTCAGTTTTGTAACTCTCATATAATTTATAATTTTGTCCCCTCTCAAACTTAATGATCATTTAATATATTTAAGTATATATCTACAATTTTATCCTTTCATCTTCTTTCTTCCTTTTATATTTATTTATTACTTATTAATAATATATTATTTTACCCCCGTAAGATCAATGGTCAAGATCCATCACTGTTTACCACTACACTAAAGTTAATTACCATCATCCATTCACCATTATGTCACCATGTTCGTTATATTTACTACATCAATATTTCTCATACCACTATATTTCAGTTACATCATATAATTTAATGCATTTCAATCATGTCACAAATTTATTATGTCCTTCTATATTTGTATTTCAGTTCCGCAATTCAATTGTACTTATTAAGAAAAAAAAAATGAATTAACAAGTCAATTCACTAACCTATTATAAAATTTCTATCTCACAAGTGAACTAGATTAAACTTATCTATTTTTTATAAACTCTTTACACCCCTAAACATATGGCATGATACATTCTTTGTTACTTAATTGTTATAAAACATCAACCTTGACATCTCGCCTAACACACATGACACAGTACACCAAACTGGAACACAGTTAATGTTTAAAATATAAGGATTATATGTGACCATAAGCTTATGTCAGTCCTTCTAAAAGCTAATGTGTACACAACTGACAGCTATATAACCCCATTTGTAATATTGTGAAAATTTCATGTACGTACACTATACAGAGTTGCAACCAAAAACAGATTGCGTCAACTGTAAACAGTAAAGGTTAATCTTGGTAGAGTGATCTAATTAATAACACGTAATAATCATAGCAAAGAGCCATACTCTGGAGACAAATAACTTGTATTATGTCCAATTAACCTAAATTTGGAAGATAACCCCCAGCTTCGGAGTAACAAGTTAGAGGCACAAAACCCTTAACGAATGAACATTTTTCTGAATTCTTCATTGGATTTTGGCTTCTCATCCCCCTCTTCTGCTATTGGTTTATTTGCAGTAAAACCAAGTGGTCTTACATTTCTAGGCACGGCAAAAGTATTCTTCCCTCTAAGCAGGATGTTATCATTTCCTTGTTTTCTAGAAGAGAACTTTGCGTCCTTTATATCTCCGTTGTAAGTATCATCAGTTTCTTCTGAAACGGAACCTTTTTTACCAGAATGATTCGTGGTATGTGCTGAAAAATCAAGTTCAAATGTTAGAGAATGTGAGAAACAATGTCAAATGATATCGACTTAAAATAAAAAAAACACAATGGTGATTCTATCTTCCAGAAAATAAAAGGAAAGGCAGCACGTGAAACAATTACCAGTAAAGAGTGTCAATGAAATTAAACGACTATGGATTCAAAATAAAACATAAAAAATATATACAAGCTTCTTGTAGTGAATGTCAAAGAACCTGTAGTGTTGTTGCAACTTCCCTAACCTAAACCGTATTACAAACCAAAAATGTTTATCAACTCAATAGTTTTGCGATATTGTCATGTTAGATCACAGGTTATACCCCAACCCCCAACTTGGTTGATTGGAATATGCGCGAACACCAAACATGACATGGACGAGCACACAAACACTATTTTTACCACACACACACTCATTTATAAATTAATGTTAATAGAATACGAGTAACATAGCATGAGAAAAAAAATATCTAATTAAACAATATTTACATATTCTTGTACATTCACTTTCATGATGACGAAACGCAGAAAAGAACATTAAAAACCATTACTGTACAACAAAAAATCTTGGCTTCTTTTTTACAAAAAAATGAATTAGAAAAATGAAGTTATATCTTTTAAGAAAGGTATATTTACCTTCTTAAACCAACTATTTTTTCCTATGATAATAAGTTTCAAGAGAAAAAGGTTAAAAAAGACATTATTTTTTAATTGTCATATATTTTAAGCTGACTTTTCTTAAGATTAAAAAAGGAATATATTTTTAATAATATTAGTGTGACCATCAATATAGAAGTGTTAACTCTAAGCAGTCGACAAAATACCCTTTTAACTAGACACCATATGAGAAGTGTCTGACATGTTTCAGATAGGTGGCAATGTTGGAAATGGGTCCAACACTGTAAAACTACTACAAACAGAAGAGGCTCCGTGCTTCGCATGGAATTAATTTGTATTACATAACCAGCAACTTTCTATTTATAAAGCATACATCAAGATCACTAAGGGAGTATTGCAAGTTCTCAGGACATTCATGCATGTACTTGTGTCAGTAAAAACATTCAAAATTCACTATACATACCATGTCCTGTCAATGTTTTGGAATTGGAAGATTCCCGTCCACCTCGCTTTGGGTCAGACCGAGCAATACTTAGTTTCTTTCCAATTAACTTTTGCTTGTTCTTAGCTACTGCAGCAGCAAGGTGTTCATCATCCAAAAAGTCCACATATGCTAATCCCTTCATCAGTGTCAAGATAAAAATTTCTCATGGTCAGTGAATAGGCATATAGCAGCCATTTGCTGTGATGAAACAATACCTTCTCACTACCTTACATGACTTTCGGTGAGTTGGTAAAAAAAAAAATAGAGTACAATTTAATTGTTCAACTAAACCAGTAATTAATGTTTGTATTACTTGTCAGGAATTCGAATGAATGAAAAAAGTCCCACATGAAAAAAATGGACTAAATGAGGATGAGAACCATGTAAGTACTAAAAGTGAACTTAAATCAGGTATGGTGTGAATACCCATGGAATGAGACTCATGCTCCCCCTGAACTAAGTATTTTTATTACAAATAAGTTATCATAAAAATGTAAGGTAAAATCCCTAAAATACAGGAACTAAAAAAGGTAACAATCCAGCCTAGATAGCCAGCTTTGCTATATAAAGTTTTATAGTCGCCACGCAAGTTTACTTTCTAATGTGTTTGGTAGGGGAGAAAAGTAGAGGGAGTGAAAGTGGTGAGAAATTGATAGAAATAGAAGTGGTTTATTAGAAAGAAATACGTGGGAAAGAAAATGAAAATGAAGGTTTTTCTATTGAAAAAAGTCAAAGAAATAAAATAGAAGTATTTATTATTATTATTATTATTATTATTATTATTATTATTGTTATTGATATTTTTATTATTCTGAAAAATATAAGATGCTATAATCAATTATGGGGATTTATTATCAAACAAAATATATTTTCTTTACAATATAATAAAATACATTACAATCATAATTCAATATGTTGTCTTTTCCATGGTTTCCTCCAATCTTTTTTTTTTCTTTTTTTTTCACAGGCTCATTTTTTTGAACTTTCTTCTCCTTTTCCTCCTCCAAACTACCATTTTCCATCGTCTTCCTTCCTCCCCTCCCTCTTTCTACACAACCAAAACTAACCAAAAGAGAATCAATTCTTAGGAGAGAAAGTATCGAACCCTCAAGCAAGAGGATGGAACCCTAGCTCTGATAACATAACAGATGAGACTTTTGAGAGAAAACTCTAGATCTGTCTGAAAAACAAAAAGGTGATTTTACAGAGTGTTGACTCATATTTTGAGTCAAGCTAACTAAGCTCCGAAACATACACGTTAAGATCCAGCTGTAACTTAATCACACAAATAGAAAAGGAAATTGTACAATTCAAACACATGCATATTTGATGAGTCCATCCTCTTATCAATGTTAGGCGCTAATAATACTCTAATAAGAGTAAATAAAATAAGTAAAACGATATAGAGAAAAAGTAATTTGATACCCTTGATTTCCCTGTAAATTTGTCATGTAGGATGCGGATGGCAACAATTCCACCAACATCATTGAAGAAATTACGAATATGCTCATAATTTGCCTGCAAAGACTCGACGTATTAGTCACAGCAGTAACATGCATAGTGAAAGAGAGGTTAAGTGTACACTCTACCGTAGGATGAATGTTTGATATAAAAGCAGTGCACTGGTCAGAGTATGTCTTGTTCTTTTCGTGGCTAAACTGTTGCCCACTTGGGGTATCGTCCATTTTATTATTCTTCAAATTGACCCCTTCCACTTTTGTAACATGGGAAGTGTTCTGATCTTTATATTTGTTCTCCTCAGGTGCATTCCTTGGATTTCCCATATCTCTAAGTCGCTTTGATGGAGACTGTTCTTCAGTTATATCTGACCCCAGCTTTCTCTTTTCACGAGCATTTCGTTTAAGATTCCTTTCACTTTCCTCTGCAGACTTGGATTCTTGCTGTATCCTAAATAACTGTAGCTCTTCGAGCCGGGGGGTAACCTAAGGAAAGGCAGTTCATGGAGTAAGGCTGACCATTTTATAATCAGTTAAACGACACACGATGATACTAGAATCTGTAATTATGAGCATCTAAATTTTAATTAAACTAAGGTGCCTATGAAGAGGGCACAATGAAAAGTTTTTGCCTTTTGATCTGGTTACAAGTTCAAATCCTACAACACACTCATCCCTAAAAAGGAGTACCGCTGTCTCCATCTACCATCCCCATTCTCCTTTAGGTGAGAGGGTAGCGTACCCAGTTTCCCTTTTTAAGCTGCCCAACATGACAATCTAATTGACGGGGATTAAGTCAGCCAAATGCTTCATAGAGGGCAATCGTTAAGCCCCACAACTAATACAATCTTTCAGACAAACGTACCTTGAAACTAGTCATTAAGGTTGGGTGTTAGTAGTATGGAAATACCTGAAGTTTTAGTTCCTAAGAATCAGGGATTGATTTATTCATTGTATCCTTAATTACTTCCATCTTGATTATAAGTAAACATCATGTTCATGGATATTACATAAATTCATGGTAGTTTGAATTGGGATACAACTTATGAATCTGGAAAGAAATTTTTTAGAATCGTGAATAAAATTTGCATTGTGAATTGTAAAATTCATGACCAATAATAAAAAAAAAACATAACATACATACATACACATACACATACACATACACATACACATACACACAAATGTGTGTGTAAGACATAAAATCACAAACATAACATATATGTTCAGAAAATAAAGAAACATTTGAGAAATGAAAACATATATATATATATATATATATATATATATATATATATATATATATCATTTAGCTTATCATATACAGTATGTTTAAACATACAAACATATAAATTAGTTAGTTTATTATATTTTTAAACATTATACCGTATATTATGATTTACTTAGTTTATTATATTATATGTAATGATTTAAATATTTTTTTATATTTTGAATGCTATTATTATTATTATTATGTAGTTATTGTACAATAAATAACAATTGTTCACATATTATAAGTTAAAAAGCGACCCATATAATATGACAAAATGTTGGGCTCAAATTGAGCCCAAGGCCCTAGATGAGAAAAGAAAACTAACCCTGAAACCCTAAAGACCTATGACCTTGTTAGCTAGCACTGCCTCTCAAAGTGAAACTTTTATGATAGAAAATGAAAGGCCGACAGTGACATTATGGAGGTCGCAGTTTTCAGTGAACCACAGCGCTTAAACACCCCAAAAGCCCGGTTTGCGGCCACTCACTCAGTAGCTATCGCACTGCTCCAACCCCAACTCAAAAACGCAATGTGACAAAGTCTATGTTGCACCTCACCACCACTCCACTCCACTCCACCACGATTGCAGTCGCTTTGGCTGGCTATTGGCGGGGCATCAGACAGAAAATTTCATTTCTTTCAGCTGCAACTCCAGACTTGCATGATTCCTGAGATTGTTGTTCCATTTATCTGATTAAACCTTATTCACAGGAAACTATTCACCGTATAATTCGCATCGTGATTTGAATTGTATTGTGTATTCCACAATACTAACTACAATGTGCGCTTTCAAATATACAAACATGGGTTTTATATAGGTATAACCCTAGACCATATAAACCCCACATCAGAACCACATACTTCTAATGCTGTTTCTAATTCACATAGCTTCGGTCAGAACAATAAAAGATTAAAATTTTCAATAATTATTAATGTATTATTCACTTTAGATTGAATATAATAACTCTTCAACTAACAAGCCGATAGTAATTTTTCTTTTAAATTTTGATGAATTTTGGTTTGATTGATAGGACCAACCAGCTGAGGGGGAGACATTAAGATACCACAAATCAATGACTAAAAATATTATTTAAAAACACTCATTGGATATTTATCCCCTGACATGCAATTAGGGTTGGAAACAAGTCAGGCTTTAATGGGCCATGATGTGATCTTTACTTCATATATACTATTTTTTAAGCCTTGATCTGACCTGTTTTAAAGTTTGTTCTGACCTGTTTTTAAGCCTGTCTTATAGAAGGTTATCAGTCCTTCTTTAGCACCTAAATTATTCCAATTTTTGTAACGCCTAATATTAAATAAAAATGAACAATAAGTCATTGTATTAAAAGTAGTTCTGTGGGTTGTGGTCCTCTCCAAAAGTCAAATAATTGAATAATTAAATTTATGAAGAGGTCATTGATGCCAAATATATCTAAAGAAATTTCAGAAACTCATAACCACTATTAATTAGAAATAGAAATGTAAACAATCATTCTCCATCAAATGAGGTGGTATCCAAACTATTTTTAACAAGTCAATACTCATCCTGAGAATAACTCGAATGCACATCCAAAAGGGGCAGAAGTCCACAACAAAATTTGATACGTCTGATAGGCTTTTTTTTATGGGGTAAGCTTGGCCTTTTTATCTAAATAGATTTTTTTTCAAAAAAACTTTAGCCTTACCTTTATAATAAACAAGCCAGGTCAGGTCAGGGGCCTACCCAGCCATAAGACCCAGGCTACCTGGCCTATTTCCATTGCACTTCTACATGTAATACAATTGTTGCACACAATCTCTTCTAAAAGCTTAGGCTGTTAGGTAGAGGTTCATTTTTATCTCCAACAAATATTTTACAAGAATAAATATAATGCAGAGTTGTTCAAAAATAATGAAAATGGATTTAAAGAGGAAAATACATACCTTGTGTAGTGCATGATCAAAATCTTCCAACTTGCCAAATTCCCTCTCAAAGCGTAACCATGAGTGACATATGTCCTGAATTATTCTGTATTTTAGAAACAGAAAGTATCATCTAATTCAAAAAGTATTGCGTAAGGAGTAAACTCACCCATACATGTTGCATAACGCATTAAACACAATAATTTATCATTATCCCAAGGAAAAAATACAAAATGGAAGTACTATGACCATCTTGGAAACTTGAGCAAAAAAAATGAGCATTTCATCAATAGTTTTCTTCCTATTTTAATTGACTATACTAATACACTCCCTCAAACTATCTACCATTATTTGAGTATGAGCCTTGGCACAAGATGGTTGCTACTTGTTTCCATGTGATCATATGGGTTCCAGTTGCTAAAACAACCACCTTGCTCATGGGGGAAATATTCTGTGCATATTCCCATGCATGATTGCCAAAATAGAGAACCAATCCAGGCTATGAAGAGGGTGTACAGCCCTCAATCACAGCCACTCCACCACCCACAATTCAAAACCACTTCACAATAGACATTCCATCATGGTTCTCATATGTGACGCAATTCCACGATAGCAGCCATGATGACCACTATTGATAACTTAGCAATGAAGAAAATTGTGTCAAACTGTGAATAAAATAATAAGAGAAAGATAATATCGCTAGGAAGTGTTTGTTTCACATTATAATTTTGCATTCCCCAATAATCATATGCCCCTGAATATTATACCCAGGAATGTTATTCTCATAAACATGTTTGGTTAGTATTTAGTAATTTTAGAAGAAAAATAAATTTTATTTTATTAAAACATAAAAGCCAAAAAGAAAGGTAGAAGAATACTGTGGAAATAGAAAGTTATAATAGACAATAACTTATATTCCCTTGGGAATATATAATACCCACCCTTTTTTATGGGAATAGAAACCACTAAAAGCTAAGCGTAACTTTTTTGGGAATAAACATATACCCAACCCAGTAATATATTTTCATAACCTCCTAATGAATATGGGAATATCTATGCTCAAAATGATATTCCCAAAACTGAAAGAAGATGGCGAGAAACAAACATCCCCTTCGCGACTGAAGGTGAAGGAAGATAGGTGGGCATTGGTCGGGTCTTATTTAGACAGAGACCAAATAATCTCTAACTATCTAAATGTTTTTATCTAAACTTTATCTTATACCTCAAGTACTATATCATGGTATAGGCTTCATATAAGCAATAATATTAAGGAAATATTCAGGGTTTACCACATCTATTCTTGCTACTGTTCTGGTACCTATCAGACAGAAAGCAGAAAGTATGGACAGATATCGGCATTGTTTGGTTGGTGGGAAATGGATTAATAAGGAAGAAAAGAGAGTTATAAATGGTAGTTTGGTAGGAAGGAAAAGGGAAGTTTCTGAACTTTTTGGTGGGATCCACATAGTAAAATTTCTGTTTAAAGATGAGTGGAAAGGGGAGGAAATTCGGCTTGTGTCCTCTTTCCAGTTTTGTCCTTTGTTCATGGACCCTTCTTCTTCCTTGTCAGAAGTTCTTAGTCTTCAATGAAAGCTGCTGTTTTTTTTTTCCATACAGATATATGAAGAACCATGTTGTGGGCATCAATGGCTACAAACTCAACCACTACTGCAGAGAAGGAGGTTGCCCTCAATGCACCAAAACACTGCCTGCAGCTACTATGACAAGGAGAGGATGAAAGTTGTCATGGAAGTGGACCACAACCCATTCTCGCCTCATGCATCACTGCTGCAGTTTGCAATGTGCTACCAGATGCCAATGGGGTTACCTGGACATGGAGGCAGCTGCATGGAAGTACCTGGAACCTAACATGGCAAGGTATCTGGATGTAGGGGACAACTGCACAGAGGTACTAGGACCAGGATGCCAATGAGATACTTGGACGTGATGATGGCAGCAAGATGCATGACACAGGAGGATGTTTACAGTTTAAATAAACAAAAGAATATAGAAAAGGGTAAACAAAAATTTTATCTTTTAATTTCCCTCTACTTCCACTCTATTTCATTCAAACCAAACCACTCTAATTTTCATTCCATTTATTTTCTTTTCCCTTTGTTTCTTCTTCCTCCATCTAACAAAGGCTTAGAGAAAGTTTTCTGTTATTGAGAGAATAATGATACAAGATAGCAGAGTTCAAATATTTATATTTTTAGCTGAATATTGCATAGAACTGCATGGTAGCCTTCTAATAGTTATAGCTGATATGTTAACGGAATCCTACCTTCCAGGAGAAGTTAACTGATCTAGATATGTTGGTTACAAAGGATTCAAGTATGAGCTAACTACTGTAGTCACAGAACTATACTCATGCTCAATACTCTAACGAGGCTGTTATCTATGGCTTTTTAGTAAATTCTTTTTAAGTGGCAGCACTAGACCGAAGCTAGAATTGGAACTACAAAGGATCAGTGAGATAAGACCAACACATGTACAAATTATTGAAAAAAAATGTCCTAGAAATTCAAGTGTTAAGAAGTTATACTCACTGAAAACCATGGTTTTCCATTGTCTCTACCTTTCCTTATTTATTTATATGATAGTCCTTCCCATCCAACCAAACTTTTAAGCAATGCGACTACCTAATCACATCTAACTACACAAACTAAATTAGTTTCAATATTTTCAAGAAATAACATAAAGCTTATTCTACCTCTGAACCCGTCCCAGAAAGTCTTTTACTGTAGCATCTCTTGTATATGGACCTTGCTTCATTTATGTGACCCAATTCCACTTCCATTGCTATATAACCATTCCATGACTCCAACATTGAACCACTACCAGAAGAAAATATTAAAAAAGAAGACAAAAAGTAATTTAAAATTAATTAGATGAATAAAACAATATCAAAGTATTTGATTTGAAAATCAATAAAATAAAAATTATCAAACCATATCTTTAGACAATTCTCCCAAACTCCCCGAGCTGCAGTTATATCTTTCCCAAGTTTTGTTTCTAAACGAGCCCAATACGCATATAAATGTAGTAAACCCTCAGTGTTCTTCAAGTGTGGCGACAGATATTCCGATGCACGCTAAAATAGTGAAGACATATAAAACATTATACATTAAGTTCTAAAGGGATACATTTTAGCTGATTGACAACAGTGATGAATTGCTTAGGTGGTACAAACTTTCATCTTGGAACACATTACACACTTAATTTTATGCGGTGGAATGATCAATTTGATCTTTTAAAGTATATAGAAGTTCCAATTTAATCTTAGAATTTAAATAAATTAAAATAAACTCCTTGGAAGTGGCTTCAATCTCTTACAATCATTTTTCATTCCAATTAAGTCCCTACATATTACCATTAAAATGCAATTTAAGCCCTTTATGTTACGATAAAATACAATTTAGACCTTATATGTAAGGACTAAATTGCATTTTAATGATAATATATAGGACCTATTTAAGATAAAAGATGAAAATGAAAGATAAAAGTACCTTTCAGGGATTATTTATTTATTAACATTCAAGCACTAACTAGAAAAAATTTACACTTTAAAGGACCAGAAACATCATTCAACCATTTTATGCTGAAGAAAAGACTAAGGCGTTTGGTAGAAGAGAAACTTTGTCAGAGAAATCTTTTTATATCCGGGAACTATGAATCTTAGGAATTATGATTCCTAAGAATTATGACAAAATATTGATTGCTTAGTCAAAAATATTCTTGGAAATATTTATAAGTATAGTAGAATGAAAAGAGCTTGATATTATTTTTTTGAAATATTTAATTTATTGTCATATTAAATGCTTTAATAAGAATGACATTGCATTTTTTTCCATTAAAATTTTAATTTCAACTCAGTAAAATTAAATTTCCACCACCTCCCATGGGAATATTTTCGTGAGATACCTGACCAAAAACCATTGTTTCCTGGGAATGTTTTATTTCAAAACGTAAACCAAAAATGAGAAAAAAAGTTTTCCAATTTTACATTCCCGGGAAACTAAATTTCCTGAGTACCAAACACTACTCCGACCTATCTTTACTGGAAATAAATATAACCAACCTGAAAGGTCTCCCTTATTAATTTATATTCCAAATCCTCTTCACTGTTGGATGTCATTCTTCGCCTTAAGCCATCTACCCGGGTAAGAAACAGATCAAGATACTGAAATAAAATTATAAATAGAAAAATTAGTAAATATGCAATTTGTTTAATGTTAAAGAAGTGGGAGAGGGAATTGGAAAATATAACATTACAAGCACTCTACAAAAAGAAGCAACCAAACTAGATTGAATATTGAACATACCTCATCAACAGTCGAAAGGCTACATTGCAGGGACTTCTCAAAGATCTGAAATCATTGGCAAAATTTCAAAAATGCCTCGAGCAAATATAAAATAAAAATATACCATACTTATTTTATAAATCAAAGAATTTATTGAATGGAGAAGAGTAGAGATGCAGTAGGATAAGAAATCCTCAATAACGAAAAAAAAAAAAACAAGATCAGGAATAAAAGGGGAAAAAACTAAAAAACAAGAAAATGTACACAGCACGGCAATCTTTGTCGATCCATCCAACAAAAAGCATCCCCTCTAAAAAGATCACAAGCAGAACACCACAAAAAATATAGGTAATATAATAAATTCCTTGATCTCAAATGAGCTAGAGAAGCCAAACCAACATTCCTGACCAACCAATACACCAAAGAACTGCAAGTTGAAACTGTCATATCCTTTTATTTAGCATATCTACAAGTACCATCTAACATGAACAAACCGGAACAATTGAAGATTGTGGCGGCAAGCTCAATGTTCACCCAGAACTCTAAACAAGCTATTCCAATAAAAGGAAACTGCTGAGCAATGCAAGAACAATGAATATTTTAAACTCAGTCTGAACATAAATAATCAGTAGACAAGCAGTTAGAGGTCTTCAAATTTGAAGAGAATTGTCAGGGCTCATGTGGTTGACCAAGTCCAACTTAGAGTTCTTATCCTTCTGATGTAGTGGAAAGGAGCATAGCTCTGGGGTATTGCTGTTTCTTCTGCTGTAATATATCATTCTTTTTCAATGTTATGCAATTTGTAATGTGTTTTATTTCTGGTTTCCCACAAGAACCACTGTTATTAATCCTTTTTAGAGCAACAGTCCAAACAAAGGATTTAATCTTATATAAAAAAGAAAGAAGCATTACAAGGAAATGAAGAGAGAAAGTAGAAATAGGATATGCAAGAGAATAATATACCCAAAGTAACAAGAAACAACTTGGAAGGTAATATTTTGCACTATTTGAAAAAAGATACAAAACAGAGAAAAAAGGGTGAAAAATTAGGACATAATAATAACAAATCTCTATGAAAAATCATATATTTACGAAAGGGATAAAATAGTTTCCTAATTAAAAAAGTAATCTATTATTATCTGATTACTTTAAAATAAAAACAGAATATTTACAATAAATGGAGAGATAAAAGATAATTAATGTAAACTTTCAACACTCCCCCACAAGATGGCTTAAAGATGTCATACATGGACAGCTTGCCAATCATGTCATTGAAGTGGACATTCCAGCATTAGAGAACAAAGATGGAAATTTCAACATCATGGAGGGACCTATCACAGGTTGAAATGATGCTTTAGAAACTTAGCCCAATCATTTGTGAGACAGAGATGCGTCAAGCATGGGTTGAGGAAGAGAAGACAAAGCTAAATGGGCAAATATGAAAAATAGGCAGTTTGAAACCTCGTTATATATTATGTCAACGTTGTATTTTTATTATTAATTTTTATGTATGTGTTGAAGTGTTATTTAGCCCAATTGTTATTAAGCAAGATGGACCTTTTCTAGTAAGCTTACTAAACATTTAACCTAATGTAAGAGTTATAAATAACTCTGAAACTGAGGTAGCCATCAGATTTTGTTTTCGAAAGAAATTTCATTATTAGGATTTTCTTCTAAAGAAATTCCCAAGTGATCATCTTTACTTGCTACATCAAGGCTATTATAAAGATATACTTCCCCGTGATATTTTTATAGTTCTTCCTTATCCTGGTTATTTATGTTTCTAAAAATGGGTTTCTTAGGAGTTTAGTATCCTATTGCTTGTATCCTATCAAAGTGTGTGCATGGGGTTTCTGGATCTTTATATCCATGGGGTCCACATCATAACCCTTGGTGAGAATGTGTACCACCTAATATGTGGTTGGAATATAGGAAATGCAAATCTGCCCTTCCTCTATTTTCTCCTTAATGAAGTGTTTATCAACTTCTACATGTTTAGTTGTATCATGTTATACTGGGTTGTGAGTTGTAGAGATAGCTGCCTGATTATCACATTATAATCTTACTGGTGCTGAGTTTTGAATCTTCAGCTCGTGGCAACTTAATAATTCACAATTCTTCACAAATCCCTTGTGCCACTCATCTATATCCTACTGCCGCAATAATCCTAGCCACTAGACTTTGTTTTTTACTTCTCCCAGTGACTAAATTTCCTCCAATAAAAATGCAATAACCCAATGTAAACCTTCTATACGTAGCATTGCAAACTCAATCTGCATCTGTATATGATTCCACAGTATGGTACCAATTTTTCTGTATAATAACCGTTGTAAATTGCGGTTTATTACGATAAAAATATCCTCCATATCTCTTTATGGATTAGGAGAAAACATCTTTAGAATCTTCTTAATTATTTCAGCATATTTGTTTCCTCATTTTAGAGAGATTGATAATTACAAATAGAGGAGCTAAGAATGTAATAGGTGTGATTGATAGCAATAAAATAATTTCTTGTTTCCCTATGTAATTCAAGTTGGTATCAAATCTCCCAATCTTGGGGGTTCTGTTTCCAATATTGCACAAACAGTGAAACAATGATATACACTGTCCACTCAGCCATTGTTGCCATTGAGAATGACTGTGGCTAGGGAGGTGGGCCCCACACTGGCAATCACAAAGCCGACAATTACATCATTAGAAGATCTACCTAGCGCCTCCACCACCAGGGCATGTAATGCAACTCACTTGTTGTCACCACAGACAGCATTGTTGGGACCCTTCACTCCATTCCAAGGGGCAATGACTTCTCATTTGTCTTATATATGAGATTTCCTTTTTATTACTTGAAATAGAAAAAGGAAAATAAAGAACTGATTTTGAGAGCCTGAAATCATCTTCTTGTGTTCTCTTATTTATAGGAGATAAAAATACAGATTCAGAGATACAATTAATAGAGAGACATGATTAATCCTAGAGAAGATAAACAGATGCATTCTAGGAACTAGATCTACAACTAATCTCATAAATGTCCAACAAGATACATTTAATCTAATAAATACTTCAACACTCCCCCTCAAGCTGGAGCATACAAATTGAATGTACCAAGCTTGGAACAAATGAATTCTATTCGAGGTCCTCTCAAAGATTTTGTTAATGCATCTGCAAGCTGCTCATTGGAACCAACAAACTCAGTACAAATTTCTTTAGTCAACAATTTCTCCCGAATAAAATGACAGTCAATCTCAATATGCTTGGTCCTCTCATGAAATACTGGGTTGGAAGCAATGTGAAGAGCAGCTTGATTATCACAATACATCTTCATAGATTGAATCTCACAGAAGTTCAATTCTTGCAAGAATTGTTTTACCCAAACAAGTTCACAAGTAAGAGACGCCATTGCCCTATATTCAGCTTCAGTAGAGGATCGGGCAACAACGTTTTGCTTTTTGCTTTTCCATGAAATGATATTTCCTCCAATGAAAACACAATAGCCTGTAGTGGAACGCCTATCCATAGGAGATCCAGCCCAGTCAGCATCACAGTACCCAAAAATTTGGGTATTTCCCTTGTCTTCATATAATAATCCTTGTCCTGGAGCTTTTTTAATGTATCTTAAGATTCGAATGATAGCATTCCAATGATCCACACAAGGAGCTTGCATAAATTGGCTGACAACACCAACTGCAAAAGACAAATCAGGTCTAGTAATCGTCAAATAAATAAGTTTCCCAACCAGTCTTCTATATCTTTCTGGGTCAGAGAAAACTTCACTCTGTCCTGCCATTAACTTCAAATTTGGATCCATAGTGTTAAGGTTCTAACATAAAACCAATTGGCAATATGTGGAGTAGCCTAACATGTATTTAAACCATACCAAATGATATGAGGTAGGCGATGTGGGACTTTCAACACACCCCCTCCAACGAAGCCTGCCGGAAAGATGTTAGGTTTTGGCTCTGATACCATGTTAAGGTTCCAACATAAAACCAATTGGCAATATGTGGAGTAGCCTAACATGTATTTAAACTATACCAAATGATATGAGGTAGGCGATGTGGGACTTTCAACACACCCCCTCCAATGAAGCCTGCCGGACCAAGCAAAGGGTACTTTTGACCCAACTAAAGGGCAACTTTTTGGCCCATGACAATAACCGGAAAGATGTTAGGCTTTGGCTCTGATACCATGTTAAGGTTCTAACATAAAACCAATTGGCAATATGTGGAGTAGCCTAACATGTATTTAAACCATACCAAATGATATGAGGTAGGCGATGTGGGACTGTTAAGGTTCCAACATAAAACCAATTGGCAATATGTGGAGTAGCCTAACATGTATTTAAACTATACCAAATGATATGAGGTAGGCGATGTGGGACTTTCAACACACCCCCTCCAACAAAGCCTGCCGGACCAGGCAAAGGGTACTTTTAACCCAACTAAAGGGCAACTTTTTGGCCCATGACAATAACCGGAAAGATGTTAGGCTTTGGCTCTGATACCATGTTAAGGTTCTAACATAAAACCAATTGGCAATATGTGAAGTAGCCTAACATGTATTTAAACCATACCAAATGATATGAGGTAGGCAATGTGGGACTTTCAACACATAGGACTGTCCACAGGTTTGCAATCAATCATACCTGTCTCTTTTAGAATATCTAGAGCATACTTCTTTTGAGAGATGGCAATACCTTCTCTTGATTGAGCTACTTCAATACCCAAGAAATATTTTAGATTTCCAAGATCCTTGGTCTGAAAATGACTACTCAAGTGCTCTTTTAACTGAGATATTTTAGCAGCATCATTCCCTGTGATGACAGTATCATCAATGTACACAATTAAATAAACATGTTTGCCAGGGGCAGTGTGACAATAAAACACTGAATGATCTGCTTCACTGCGTTTTAATCCAAAAGCTTGAACAATAGAGCTGAATTTTCCAAACCAAGCCCGTGGAGATTGTTTTAGGCCATAGAGGGATCGACGTAATTTACAAACCAAACCAGACTCCCCCTGAGCAACAAATCCAGGAGGTTGCTCCATGTAAACTTCTTCTTCTAAGTC